CCACCTATGAGCCAGGCTGTCACCAGACACCAAAAGGGCCAGACCTTTTTATCTCAGACTTGTTGGCCCACAGGTTGGGAAATAACTTTATCATGGTTATGGACCTCCCAGGCTAGTCTGTTACAAAAGTCTGATCCAAGATGGTGCTTTTTTCTTTTATTCTTTAGAGAAAGCACTTTCTAGGTCTGTGACACAAAACAAAAACCGAGTCCCAGTGTCCTTCTTTGAAAAAATCGGATTAAGAAAATCCACCTCACCAAGTTGCTAAAAGACTAAATAACTGAGTAAATAATTTGCCCAACATTTGACAATGCCTAACAACTGGCAGGAACCCGGTCTCTGTTCCCCGCAGAGCTGAGTACACACGGGAGGCAATGAGGTCTGAGCGGGGAAAACAAACATATCAACAAACCTAACACATTCCGGTTGCCGACCATACCTGGCTGACGCCATGCTCACCATCACTACAGAGAAGCCATTGTTAGCTCCCTACTAGACACCAACCAAAAGTTCCAAGGTATTTAGTGATGGATCTTGGAACCATGAACTTGGAATCAGGAGCAATCTGCCTCTTGGAAACCAGTCTGTGCAACAAGCTGCCACCTCTTCTGTACGTTGGGCTGGTATGGTCCCTTCAGGGTTGCCATCTTGCCCAACACCAGTCCATTCCTTCAGAAGGAGTTCACCGTGCCTCCCCTGGGCATGAGGACACGTTTATAAGCACCACTTGTTGAGGTCCAACAAAAACACTATAATTAGCAAGAATAGCCAGAGGACAGCAATAAGTATGTTTCTCTTGACACATACAAAAAAATTACCATCATTGATTTTATCTACCCAAGCTGATACAAATTAGATATTATCAGAATCCGTACATCTGAAACCAGGCATTTTAAAATAAATGAACATCTGCATTGCTCTCACCTTGTGTGATCCTAATCAACATGCCAGCAGGGAAGACTGTAGAAAAAAAAATTATGCACTTAATAAATTTTGAATAGAAAATGACTGCCCCTGGGCACACACCTTTAATCCTAGCACTTTAATCCCAGGAGGCAGAGGTAGGTGGACCTGGTCTACAAAGCAAGTCTAGGACAGCCAGGGCTGTTAGGAAAAGACATCCTGTCTCCAAAAACAAACAAATTAAAAAAAAAAACAAAAACAAAAACAAAAAAAAACAACAACAATCCCCCTCACAAAAGAAAGAAAAACAACGGCTTAGCAACAAAGGATTGATAATGTTAAGCAAAAGTAGTTTCCTTCTTGTAAGGCAGGGCTGATCAGCTTGACCTGCCTCATAGCTGACGAGCAACTCTTGAGTCTGCTAGTCTAGGGCAGCAGGATCAAGCATTTGCTGTGCTGCTGGGACAGCCTAGCACAGTGATCTAGGCCTCTCTTAAGCTGGCCAGACACCTGGTGCCTCCTCTCCAGCCAGAGGCTCCTCTAGGGTTTCTATGAACCCATGGCCGTGGAGCTACACTGGAATGGAAAAGGCCAGTTCTGTCTCGTGACCTTGATCTGTCCCCTCTATTCAGTATAATGCCCCACACAAACACCAGGCCTCCTGCTATGCAGCCTGGCAAAGGAAGGCTTTAGATTAGCAGTGGCTGGAAGTCCTTCTGGTCATGGTTTGCTTCTTGGGCAGGTTGTTTAATCAGTCTGAGTCACTTTCCTTTTCTACAAAGCGCAGAGACTAACACTGCCTTTGTGTGTGTGTGTGTGGGGGGGGCACTGCTATTGTTTTATATCTCCGAGATGATATACATAGTGTTTGTTAAAGTGCTTGGCCTTTGCACACTCAGTACAGCCATTCATTGTACGTTTATTGATTAGCTAAGCATTCCTCTAGGTACAGGTTTTTGTTTTTTTAACTCTTTATTTATTCTGTGAACATACTCTGCTTAGGACTTTTCAACGTGATGGTTTTGTGGATGATAAAGCTGTGCACCAGCGTTAAGACAGCAGCTTTGGCTCACAGCAGGTGCAAGCAGTCGCCCTGTTAGCTGTTGTATATTGTGGAGGTTTGCTTGGCTTTCTCTCCCCACCCCACCCCTTTGAAAACAAAGTGAGGCCAAAAAAAAAAAAAAATCCTAAAAAGTTAATGTTTATAGTACTTTGACATTACAGGCATGCTCATGCTGTTTTCCAGAAAAGACCTTTTCATTGTTCAGGTAGGAAGGTTGTAACTTCAATTTATGAAAATGTCCAGAGTTTCTAAGACATGGACTTTTATTATAAATTTATATGCAATAGAAATAAAAAAGACAGAAGAGAAAACAGCTTTTGAAGAGAGCCGAAACAAAGAGAGGCAGGAGCAATGCCATCAATCTCTACAGTTCTTTGGGGAAGGGGGGATTTACGTTGATAATGTTAATTTTTGGTTTGTTTTGCTTTGCTTTGCTCTTGTTTCTTGAGGCAGGGTTTTTCCATGTAGTACTGGTTGGCCAGGTACTCGCCATGTTGTTCAGGATGGCCATGAATTCTCAGCAGTCCTCCTGTCTCAGCCTCCCAGCTATTGAAGTTGTAAGGCCATGTCACCATACCCAGCTTCATTCTTCTCACTTATATTACCGTTGTCACGCCAGGGAGTTATTATCATCACCTCCCCCTCCCCCCATTTCAAAGATGAGAAAACAGAGGCATGGAGAACTCAGATGCCCCCACCCCTGGTAAGTCACAGAGCTGGGACCTGACTGAGAAAGCTGGGCTCTGGAGGTTGCCCATGGGTGTTCCAGACTCATTACCCACAATGGGCTACGTAGCCTGAGAGTAGACTTGTGAACAAATAAAGTAACAGCCTTTTTAATGTGACCTGCTTAGCAGAAAAATTTCTGACTAGATGTTAACCACCAGAGATAGAAGTGCTTGGCCAGAATGCACTCCCAAACACTCTCTAGTCTCTCTCTTCCCCCTCTCTTTTTCTCTCTTTCTCCCTTTCCCCTCCCTTTTTTCTCCATTTCTTCTTTCTTCCTTTCTTCCTTCAGCTTCAAATAAGATCCAATGGCTAAAGATTCTGAGGAAGAAAAGAGAAGAGTCACACATCAATAAAGAGTCTGTTTTGCAATTCCCTTTAAAAAGTTTGCCCAAGTTTGGCCAAAATTTGAATTGAATTTCTTAAACATTCACAGATTAAGAAAGGTCGAGGTCCCTTTAAGATACTTCAAAGAGACAGGAAAATGCTTAAATGTTAAGTGTAAAGGAGAAGGAGCCAAAGAAGATAAGAAATAATGGGAAAGTTTAGTTACCACAAATAATCTCTGACGGTTTGGGAGAGACCCTGCTTGCCCGTAGGCTCTTTGTATTTCTGTAAAGCTTACCCCTGGAGGAGGGGCTTCTCTGGGACGGACAGAACTAGATAGTATTAGTCTACCAGTACCTTGACTCTAGCGGTGGTGGCTGATATGGAGTTGATGTGACACATTCATTGCTTCTAACACTAGAGAGAAAGCTAACACTAGCCTAGATGTCCCATCAGTATTGGAGCCCATCTGGCTGTAGCCCAGCTCACTTTAACTAAACCATAGGTAAACTAGTCAGCTTTGACGGGAGGCATTTGACCCAGGTGCTTATATTTCTTAAATCTATTCTTTAGGTTTATCTCTGTGCTTATGTTTGGAAAATAACTTAAGTATTTTATTGCCATATATGAATATATATACATAATTGCTGATGTTTTTAAAAATACTGATTTTTATTAACATATTCAAAATATTTATTTTTAATTAAAATATGAATTGGCACACAACTGCATATATTTATGAGCCATAACATTTTGATACATGGCATTTTGAGGTGGCAAAATCAAGCTATTTAACTTCTACATCACTTTACACACCTTTCATATGTACGCCGAGGACAACTAAAGTCTACACCATTAGCAATCTTAAAGTCAGATGTTATTATCAATCATAGAAACCATGATGTATAATAAATGTCTTAAACTTATTCCTCTAGTGGAAATTTATGTTCTCGATCAACATGTTTCTTCCCCACAACCCTCCGCTTTTGGCCACTTCCCTTCTCTTCTTTCTATGAATTAGACTTAAGAGTTCTCACGGAAGTGAAATCGTGTAGTGTTCACCTTGCTCTGCTTGACTCTTTTCACTTAGCACAACACACTGGGCTTTTGTCTGAAAAATGAATGTTAGCGGTGTTAGTCCCCAAACTCAAGAGAAAGCATGACCCTAGCCTGACTACTTAAACTGCTCGCACTGTAATTCAGTACTTTCCATTCTTAATCTGATGATTCTCAAATTTTACTGCCTTCCCCTCTGTCTAAGTCATTCCTTTGGAAGGTTTTCAAGATTATAAACTCATCATGACTTGAAGTCATTCTATTACAATCTCAGATTTGTACTGTTGACAATCTTGCTGTGCGCTGTGCTACAATCATCTGCCCTCTTACTTCCCTCTCTTCTTCAGCCTGAGTGTGGACCTTTCTTCATTTTTCCTCGCATGGTTCAGCATGATTTATCTTCCATCTTCCTGGGCTGTTCTCTCTCTGGCTAATGGTTCTGTGGGGTTTTTTGTTGTTGTTGTTGTTTGTTTGTTTGTTTGTTCTTCAAGACAGGGTATCTCTGTGTAGCCCTGGCTGTCCTGGACTCATTTTGTAGACTAGGCTGGCCTCGAACTCACAGAGATCTGCCTGTCTCTGCCCCCCCTGAGTGATGGGATTACAGGCATGTACCTCCACCCTACTGCGTCATTTGGGAGGAGGGACTGCTATTTTTGTATCCCCAATCTGGGCAGTTTACCATAAAAGATGGACCTTCTAAATTTTAGAATTAATAGGAAATGATGAATTTAACTCTGCGTGTCTGTGCGTGCACGCTCCTGTCGTGTGAGTGAATACGCACATGTGCGCGCAGAGGTCAGAGAACAACCTTGGCTGTTGTTCCTCAGGCATGGTCCACCTTTAAACAACTGTTAACTTTAGCCTAATTTGATCTTTTAAAAGGCAAGTTCTTGTTCTAGCCTGGCACTTGCCAAGTAGGCTAGGCTGGTGAGCAAGCCCAGCGGTCTACCTATCTCTATTTTTCCAACACTGGGATTACAAAGGTATGTTAACACACCCAACTTTTTTCACCTGGGTGTTGGGGGTTATCTCAAGCCCTCATGCCTGAGAGGCAAGCACTTCAGCTACTGAACTACTCCCCTACTTAAATATAGTAGCAGTAATAATAATAATAATAATATTAATAATAATAATACAAATAAACTTTTATTTATTTTTTCCTCACTCTGACTAGATAATGTGAATAAAAGTTCCTGAAAAGAAGCTGTGGTGATAAAGGCTGACTGACTAAGACTGTAATGATGTGAGGTGGGTAGAATGTTGTAAATTATCTTGGGCTGTCTTTATCCCCTTTAACAGTCTGCTGTGCGTGACCTAACATCTTTGTAACTGTTAGATAAGTCATCTGGAATGTACTTACAGATCTCTGGCTTCCACTAACTCCAGAGCTAAGCATGTCACTGGGTAGCATCCAGGGCCTATAGCAAAAGTTTCCCTTGTTTGTTGTAATCTGGTTACTTTATGTTCCCACCAGTTGTCTTAGGAAATGTGTTGATTTATGACCTTTTTTTTTTATTTCTTCTGTTCCTATAAAAATCGCATAAAACTGCTGCCACATCAGAACGTGGAATTTTGGGCAACCCGAGTCTGTGTTCCCAGGCCATAGTGACTCACATTTGGCTCCAGAATAAATGATTTCTTGTCCCCTTTGAGGTAAGAGTTGTGTCTCTTGCATCAACAGTAAAGGGACATTGACCCTAACCAGATTGCGCACTCCACTGAGTGCTGAAGTCCCTTTGTGAGGGTAGGATTGATACTTTCCTTTTCATTCTGTGTTGCCATAGATGTTGTCATGCAGAGGGAGAGGGGTGGGAATAGGAGGAGGAGAGGAGATGAGGGCATTTATTACTTTATTGTTGCTGTTATTATTATAACCGCTATGCTACTGTTTGAGGCAGTCTTGCTAGAACCTCCTGACTAGCTGGGTACTCTGGTACTCACTCACGTAGTCCTGGCTGGCCTCTGGCTTGGGGCACTCCTCCTGCCTCAGCCTCCAGGCATGGGGCTCAGATCTAGGCTTTTTTTTTTTTTTTCTGTCATTCTAGTGCCTAAATTTCTTCATGAGGTGGAAGCAAAAACAGAGCTACCATATCCACGCTGTAAGCTTCTGGCAGCGTGCAAGTCCCATTGATCTCCCGGAGATCTGGTTTTCCTTTCTGGAAGCTCCCATGAATGCTGCAGGCACCCTTCTGCAAAACACAACTTTCTTCTGACAAGACTTTGGAATTATAAAATATCATCAGCACATGCCAGGCTGTTTCCTAAGATGGTGGGCATCTCTCCTCTAACAAGCCACATGAGGATACCAGAAAGCTTAACAGATGATTCTAAAAGTGCTATTTGATATGTCATACAGAAGATCACACATGCACCACCAGCTACAGAGGCAGAGCTCGGAGGCAGTCACCTCTGATCAAAAGAAGCAAGAAGAAATGTGCTCAAGCATGAGCCTGGCTCTGGGAAACCTTACTGGCGGAGCCGGTTACTGAAGCACATGTCTCCACATTCCCTGAGCTGTCAGGCTGTGTGAACACAGCCTACTCTTCCGGCTTCACAGGGGCTGGTCTTTGGGTGGCCTCTCAGGCATTCAAGTGACAGTGTGACTTGCCATTGACGTAAGTCCAGGTCCAAAGCACTGAGTGGTGGCTGGGACAAGGCAGTCTGCTGAACTTTGCAGGAGATGGTGGCAAGAGCTGAGAGACACTGCAGTCTGAGACGGGCTCTGCCCCACCATCGTCTACAATGGTGTCCACAGCGTCACCAAGAGCACAGTTGATCCTCCTTTCTTGCCTTCCCCGGCCAAACAGTTCTAAACCACTGACGAAGGACATCAGCTGGATGCCAAAGCCCCAGCACACCCAACATCATTGTGTTTGTATGTATGTTCCCTTCCTGAGTTCGTCACCAACTCACAGGACAGATCAGTTAGCGCTGTTTTCATGTTTGCAGGAAACACGTGCACAGATGTGTCTCAGCGGGGCTGGAGAGATGGGATCAGATGTTAAGGGCACTGGCTGCTCTTCCAAAGGACCCGGGTTCAAATCGCAGCACCCACATGACAATTCACAACATTCTGAGTGAGGGGATCTGACACCCTCACACAGACATACATAGAGGCAGAACACCAACGTACATAAAATATAACTATGTAAAAAAAAGATGTGTCTGAAGTTTGGCTTTGTAGTGCCTGTTTATTCATCATGGTTCTTTAGCCTTTTCTCTGAGGCTGGGGGGAGCCTCATCTTGCCTGATTTTTCCTGAAGAGGGTAAGAAAAGGTTTTGCTGTAGTGAGCAGAGAGGAATGGCCCTCACTCTGGCCAGGAGATCCTGACAGCAACTAACACAGTATCCTCTGCGTTTTCTCTGTGGCTACTGTTTCCCTCAATCTATTACTTTATTTACTTTTTAATCCAAAAGAAGAGCTGCAGTTTTCCACTCACCCTTTATCTAGACCCGGGGTCCTCACCTTTCTCAATGCCACGGTTATGACCCATAGTGTAAATACCTGTGTTTTCCTCATTGCCTTGCACGACCCCTATGAAAGGGCCCTTTGACTCCCCCAAAGGGGTCGTGACCTACAGGTTGACGGCCACTGATCTACAGTCACCAGCTTTCAGTCCTTCCCACACTAGCGTTTCAGCTCTCTCCTCACTCTTGCGTGCTCACACTGTCTTCTGATATACCACTGAGAAGTCCTTTTCACACAAA